GCCTTGGGGAGGAGGGAAATGCCTGGAACCTCAGAGGGCCATCGAGCAAGAACCTAATTTTGGGGAATACCCATCACACTTGGGCTTCATGCGGGTAGCTGTGCTACTCATATTCGGATCCAGGCACTGACTGTGCCACCACCGCTAAAGTGAGATCCTGGGGCCAGCCCAGGCAAGGATAAATCTCTTTTGTCAGGATGTTTGTGCGTGCTCACACGGATTTTATGACAATGAGCAATGTAACCAGTGCGCGCAACTAGTGAGACTGTTAAAACTGCTCCAATTACCCTAGTCAGCAAAAGGATGGTATCCCAGACTACCTGAAACCTAAAGGAAATCTCATCCTTTCCTGAGACACCCTATGGACTGACCATCAGGTCTGCGGCTCCATGCCTGAGGTTTGTGTTTTTTCAGTCTCTGCCTACATGAAGGTAAAGAGTCACACACTATTTTAGGTTATTAAATATTTAATTCCACAGTGAGACAGAAGAAACCAGCAGATGGTCACTGCAGCAGGTCCGTGCCTCTTCTCTTTTTGGGGGGAGGGTAGAAAAGTTTAAGGAAGAATCATGAAAACCCATTTCTGTAAGCAAACATTCCCCATTTAGAGGGGCAAGGTAGGAAATTAGAGAGGAACTATTAGTTTCTCTTACTACAGGGAGGCATTGAAACATGACACATAGCATTGATTACTTGCAGAAGAGCATCAGAGGTGTCTGGTAGTTGGTTACTTCTGACCCAGGACTATCTCTGTTAGATACTTCTGAATCCATCTGATTTATCCACCAGTATTATCTGAGAAGCACCAAAAACAGCTACACTTGTACAGTTTAGGTTCCTTCATCAAACTTTTCACTGCTCCAGAGTATCTTAATCTAGTGTGAAATATGTCTTAAGATGTATGAGACACAAGAAATCCAGTCTTCTCCTCAGCTAATCCAAGCTGACTCGTGACCTTCAGCTGAGCCTGAAGCTGGTGCTGATGGGAGGTAACAGAAGCAAGTTGGGTGCCTTGTCAGAAAGTCTTTAAACATCGATGCTGATGGAGCGTGTGGCACAGGAAGCCCCGGGGCAGATACAAAAGGCAGAGGCAGCCACCATACAGCTGTGCTGCTTCCTCTGCTCATGTGGAAACATCACACATGGAACCTCACCCCAGGAATTGACTTCTGTCAGAGCCTTGAATTATTGGACTCTTCTACTCACTGTAACTACACCACAGAAAACACAAACCTAGACTGAGTAGCTTAAAAAAAAAAGGACTAATTGAACTAGGTTTTGATGTTGGCAACAAGTGAAGCAGGTCACCAATACCAACACATAACCTGCAGGCACTGAACTGGAGAATTGTTCGAGAATTTGGGGGCAAAAGCCCTCCAAAAGACTTCTGTGCAATATACTGCAGGACTAGACTCCAAAGGCAGCAGTACAGAGCTGGTTGCAAATTTCTCTCCAAAAGCAGCACTTGCTGACCAGTGTGATGGAGTGCTCCACACCTCCTCAACACCACTGGGGCTTCTGCAGGGGTCTGGATGCACAAAATCTTTAAGATCCTGAGTCTGGAGGCTGCACTTCTGAATCTGGGATGTTTCAAGCAAGTAATGGTGAAGTCTTCTGAAGCTTTTAGCAGCCAAGCCCACTCTCTTGGAAGGCCGAGCGCCACAAAAGTGTCCCTCCATGTCAGTGCCACCTTCATGTGGTCACATCCAGTCTCGTACTAAAGATGAAATATCTTTTTTGACAGCTACTCTACAAGAAGGTCCCCACTCAGAATCACCCAGGCTGGAAAAGCCCTTTAAGCTCATCCAGTCCAACCATTCCCAGCACTGCCAAGGCCACCCCTAACCCATGGCACTGAGGCCTCGTCTCCACGCTGTGTGAACACTTGCAGGGACGGTGACTGCAGCCCTGCCCTGGGCAGCCTGTTCCAATGCCTGAGCACCCTCTGGGGAAGGAATTGTTCCTCAGCTCCATCTAAACCTGCCCTGGTGCAGCTTGAGGCTGTGGCCAAGCAGACTTGATCCATGGCCAAGCAGGCTGGTCCCTTCCAACCTAAGTCTGCCTATGATCAGTATCCAAGAGTTTAAAAATGTTTATTCTGAACATCCAGGAAAAAGGAAATCACCATTAAAATTGTTCTCTTCAGGAAAAAAACTAATTTTCCTTCCAATGCTGCAGGTGATGACAAATTTGACACAGCAAAGCTGCTGACTGAGACCATCTGGTTGTAGGTGCAGCTGAAGGCAGCAGTTGCACTAACAAGAGGACCACACTGCTCCTGTGGCGTTACAGCAATGCTGTTACTAGTCCTACTTTTTAGGCTGACAGTGGGAGGTTTGCAGGCAGCCACGTTATTTGGCAAGATGAACTGGCGAATGTATTGAACAGTATGTCACAGGCAACACTAGCGTTGTTCTCCTCTGAGTCATACACACCAGGCCTTTGGACACTTTTAGTCTTCATTTGGTGAGTCTAGGATAATTTCAAGAACCAGTCTTGCTTACTGGAAGTTCAAGGCTGTCTGTTCAAGCAGTTCTAAGCAAGAACCATTAACAACGTCGCTGAGAACAGACCCATCTATTTCCCCAAAGTCAGCACATATTTAGCACCAATCTGTTTTCCCAGACAGCCCTCCCCTCGTTCTCCACGTGGTGTGCAGACACCAAGTCAAGTCTCCCTGGTCCTGGCAGTCTGACTCCACTAAAATTTATTCTGTTCAGCTTCCAAGTTTCATGGAGAGACAAGAGATGTGGCTCACATCCTCCACTCGAGCTCCTGGCCTACTGCCCGCTGTTGTAGCAAAGCTGTAGCCCAAGAGCTTCTAACGGCATTCAACAGATTATCAGAGCTGGGTTGGTGATGGCCATGGGACCACACACAGAGAGAAATAAAAGTAATGTTGTTCATGAGGCTTCTCAAGAATCTATTGACAAATACTGGCAAAAAGGCTTGAGATGACAGTCAGCAACTCCTCCAGAATGAAGGGAAAAGAGACTCGGAATGCAAGTTGTCCATGTCTGATGGCAGAATACTTAGAAATACTTCCATTAGCATGTGCAGTATTAGACAGGGCAGAAACGCTCTGCATGGGTAAATGCTGTAGGATGATCAGAGAGCTGGAGCAGCTCTGCTCTGGAAGCAGGCTGAGAGAGCTGGGTCAGCCTGGACAAGAGAAGGCTCCTGAAGGGGAGAGCTTAGAGCAGCTCCAGTGCCTGAAGGGGCTCCAGGAAACCTGGAGAGGGGCTTGGGACAAGGGATGTAGGGACAGGCCAAGGGGAATGGCTTGAACCTGCCCGAGGGGAGACTGAGATGAGCTCTTAGGCAGAAGCTCTTCCCTGGGAGGGTGCTGAGGCGCTGGCACAGGGTGCCCAGAGAAGCTGTGGCTGCCCCATCCCTGGCAGTGTTCAAGGCCAGGTTGGACACAGGGGCTTGGAGCAAGCTGCTCTAGTGGAAGGTGTCCCTGCCCGTGGCAAGGGGTTGGAACTGGATGAGCTTTGAGGCCCCTTCAACTCAATCCAGTCTGGGATTCTACAATGAAAAGTTAAGATTCATTAGGAACAGAAGGAAGCCAAAACAAAGCCAGGGCCCCAACATTTATCAGTTTTAAAACTCCTCGGTAACATCTTTAAAGAGGGGTAAAAAGCCAACAGGTAAGGAAAAAGACTGGTTTTCATTCACGAGACATGCGCAGGGTATCACAGAGATGACAAGCACCAACAGAACTCCAGGAAGAAGCAAAGAGCAGAATTAAGTGTATCACTTGTTCTGTGAGCCTACATCTGATTTACTACATGGGTGTCAGCAGAAATGCCCTAAGTCTCAAAAACACAGGGAACTGGAATTAAGTGGCAGCATCAACCCATCAGGGGCTTTGTACACAGCACCAGAATACAAAATACACAGAAAAGAACCTTATTACAGTAGAAAAATTCTGCTTAAAAACCAATAACAACAAAATTTAATGTGTCCAATGGTGACAACTTACTTGCTTCCCACATCCCAGATTCTGCACCCTATAAGGAGCTAAGAAGTGACAAAATGTAGAGCGCAATAGCACCCAGTCTCCAGAGGATGAGCTACACAAAACTATGGACCTGATTAGAAGAATTAATTGGAACAAGCAGAAAGGAAAAATGCAAGAGGACTGCGCAGGCACTGCACATCATGAGCTCAGAGCAGACTGATCACTCATTCTGTTCAACCCTGTATTTGGTAATATGTGAGCATATCCAGAGAAAACAGGAAAAATAAAATCAGAAGAAAGTGCAAAGAGAAATACAGTAATGTAGGAAGCTTGCCAAAGCCCAAGGTCAATATATGATCAAGGCACAGAGGAGCACAGAAGGTCTTTGCTACAGAGACTTCCTTGTGCAGTGGGTAGTCAAGGCTGTGGAAATCCTTGCTAGGAAATAGCACATGCTGAAAGGTTTAAAAAGCAATCCTGCATTCAGGGAAGAAAAATCCAAACACAATTACACACAAGCTCAAGATCTATATTGAGCTTTCAGGGAGCTTGCCAGGACTTACCCTGTTACACTCTTCTCAGATCTGCTGTAGGCTGTGGTCACACAGAGGACACTGAGCCCGTGGGCTTATGGACATTTATGATTTAGTAAGTATCAATGAAAACAGTGCTTCAGGTTTTTCTTAGAAAAGCTCTATACTTCTTACACAATTTCCTAGATTTAAGGCACCTTTTCAAGGTCTGTCATTCTATACACAAACAGCTTTCCACCCATTGACAGCTCCTGTGTTTCACAAGGACACTCTGACGGGTATTTCCCGTACCAGTCAATCCTCAAACTCGAGTTTCTATGTCCACATAATCATCCAGCATCATTCTCATGTTATTCTGACCAAATCTCTTCCAAAACTCATGTGAGGCTGAAAGAACCTGCCCAGATCAGTAAGCTTGAGTCAGAGTTACACATCAAATATGATGGTAATGTTTGATTTAACAAAGAAACAGCAAACTTTCTATAAGCTTAAGGTTTACTTACCCGCACTTCCAAGTTGCTTATAAAACCTGTATTCTAAATGAAGCTGTGGTGCACGTGATTTTATCGGTTCCTAAAACAGAAGATAAAAAAACAAAAATGGTTAAAATCAGTTTATCTGAAAAAAGTTCTATATTTGAAGATTTGTGACTGTACATAATGCTTCATGGTTAACATAAACCACCCCAGACTGGAAGCCTAACAACAGAGGTGGCAAGCATCAACAGAATGCATCATCAGACATCATTTAAATAAGCAGAGAACAAAAAGCAACAAGACTCATGTTCTGGAGAAGAAATAACTTCCTCATTTAATACAAAGCTCATTCAAGAACCATTCAACAAAGCTCCTGGTCCTTGAAGAATGACCCTGGCCATTGGGAGGAGGAAAGCCAAGGCTGCAAAAGATCAAGTCCCAGGTTCACCTTGTGGACTGTGCTTGCTCCCATTATTTTTGATGGTCGCTTGCCTATATTTTTGTAAAACCTTGAGTCATGTATCTGTGTTCTAAGTCAGACCATAGCTGTACAAACATCCAACCCTGCTCGCAGTGAGCACTGCAGCGCAGGCAGTCTTCCCCCTCAGTAGCAGGTGCCAGTCAAACATCTCAAAGCACTCAAGAATATTCTGGTTTGATACAGAGATTGAAAACAATGGGTAAGTCTGCAACGCACCCCAAACATTACATTTCTCAGCTGTTACTCATCTGAACTTTATGCACAAAACTTAATGCGTATGATCCCTAAAAGTGTTAAAATGCAAGATTACAAAGGTTCTGAAAACAAAGTTAACATGGAGAGACGTAAGAGGTTTGAGTAATCACACTTTCAATAAAACTGTGCACTTGCGACAGGCAGCAACACTGATTCACCTGCTGCCCGGCATCTTTGACACAGAAGTTAATACTGGCCTCAGTTTTTGTTGGATGTTCCTTATTTCCTTGCTTTTGAGAAAAATAATGCTCCATGCTCAGAACTACATAAAATTCATACAGTACTACCAAGATCAGTCTGAATTTCAAAAACCTACCGAACAGCCCTCTATTTGATGAACACACTACCTAGCAGCTTGCCAATACCAGAGCCTAAGACCAACATGAAAAGAAGTCCTTTTATGATTCACATCCACTCCTGTGAGTTGGAGGAAAAGCACCTTCATAGAATCACAAGATGGTTTGGGTTGGAAAGGACCTTAAAGCTCATCCAGTTCCAACTCCCCAGCATGGGCAGTGACACCTTCCACTAGACCAGGTTGCTCTTAGACATAGTGTGAGCCAACATCTTTAATACTGTGAAATAACTCTTCTCTCCGCATGGGAGGACACAAAGGCTTTAGTTTATCTACTTTGTCTTGTTTCACCTCTGCTTTGTACTGGAAGACTAATGTCCACATTTGGTGCGAATGTTAAAGACTTCTTTTTAAGTTGGAAGAACAGGTTTTGTAGAGGAATTTAGGCAATTCCACTTCCAGCCAAGCCATTCTTCACCTGCTCAAGTCAAATGCTCCTCGTCGCTTCTCAACTTTCTGATGTTCACAAGCTTCAGAATCAAATGTAACCAACTACTTAGAAAACAACGGTGAAAACTGTTCTGAAGCCAAAGCTGATTGTATTGAAAGCAAATACAAAGCAACACAAAACCAAGTTTGTTATAAATCACATTTAAATTAAGATAATTGTTGATGGTGACTTGAGGGAGAGCCTACAGACACCTGCTGTATTAGGATTTAGGGCAACAGGAACTCAGCCTTTCAGTGAATAGTTTATTTATACAAATAAACTATGTGGATAAAGGTAGAAGGATAAAGGTAGAAGGATTAATGTATCATGCCGTGAGTTTGCTCATGACAAAACAGGTAAAGTAAGCCCAAGCCACTTCTGCATCAGGAGCTGCTGGAGACAGAGCTCTGGATGATTGCCAGAGGGGTGGCAGCTTCCAAGAAGATCATACCAGAACAGATGGTTGTCCTGTAGGCCAAAGGCTTAAGGCTGCTAGCAGATGTTGTGTTTGTAGCAAAAATAACTGAATTGCTACTGCCTAACATGCAAAATCCACAGCTTGAACAAACAGCATCATGTTGTTGAAGGGTTTCCGCGTGGTACCTGCACTCAGGCTGCATCTGTATGTTAATGGTTTCATGCTGGGAAGATATTCCTCCTACGTGCAACTCAGTATTAAAACCCTCAAAAGATTAAACCAGCAAATGAGGCATTTCAGAAGACAAACTCCTCCATGAACTACATGCACATGAACAAATAATGCTCAGATGAAGAGCAGGATGAGAACCTATATGGTGATACCACACAAATCATACCACCAGCACTATTCACCACCACCAGCACAATCCTCACTCCCAAAGAGAAACCATGAGGCATTAGCACTGCATTTCACAGCACTTTCTGATCAACTTTTTGACATCCATCACACAATTCTCTCATTTTCCAGCTTTAACAACATGACAGGCAGCAGAAATAGCTGAGACAGCAGGGCTGCAGTTGCAGAAGATGAACTCACACAGCTTGAAGGACCTGGAGTAGAGTTTTGATTTGGTCCAACAATAAAGATAAAAGAAAACACTGCTTTCAAGAGCACTGAAAGCAGGTACTCTACCACTACTCCACAAAGTATTTGAGCATAATTTACAAGGAACAGGTTGCCCAGAGAATCTGTGGCTGCCCCATCCCTGGCAGAGTTCAAGGCCAGGTTGGACAGGGCTTGGAGCAAGCTGCTCTAGTGGGAGGTGTCCCTGCCTGTGGCAAAGGGATAGTACTACACAGTCTTTAAAGTCCCTTTCAACCCAAACCATCCTGCGAGTCTATGATAAAGAAAATTACAGTTAAGTACACACGTAAGAGAAGGATATTTGCTGCTGAGCATGTTCAGTAATTCTTACTTCTGGGGAACATGGACCCAGGCTCCCCATTTCTCCTGCTGTTCCCTCATTCATCTTCTCAAAAGAGAGCAGGTATGCGGGTGCCTAGATGGCCACTGGATGGCAATTCCAGTCCTTCAAATGTGAAGGACCAGACATTTTTAAGCATGAATCATAACAGGGCAAAGAAAACTGGAGTGTGCTGCACTCCGGTGCTTTAACATTCAGCGATTTGTGGGGGGTGGAGAGAGAGAAAGAATTCTACCAGAAAAAATAGGTAAGATTAATGCAGCAATAAGGTCACGTCATTCAGTTCTGCCATATGGCAACTGAAAGGTTTCAGGGCACTGGGAGGTGTCACTGCAGGTGCTCTTTGGAGAGAAACAAGCATCCTTTGGACTAATAAAGCTGTATTTTTCCTGTGTTATTCATTCCTTAGGCCTTTTAATGCTATAACTTTGTGGCATTATCTTTGAAAGCAAATTGGAAACCTTGTTTATTCAATAAAATACCTCAACTGTGTACAAAGCACTTCCTATTGTCAGGTCTGCCTAAAAAGCGAGCAGACAGCAGTCCTCCTTCCTGATGTGGATCCATATCAAGGATATCCTAAGCTCCAATGCAGGCATTCATTTACTTATTTTAGGGAGTATCTTCTGACACTTGCCAACAAGCACGAAAACAAGTCCCTGCTGCAAAGCCCTAATTATGTTTCATCTACTATGCATCATATAAAGCCAATGTTACAGATATAAAATCTGTGGCACTGGAAGGTGATCAGAATTAATGCACCGAGTCCATCCTGATCTCCTGTAACCTGAATGAATCCTGTTACTTTGCCAAACAACATCGGTTGAGCAAACAGGTGTGTGTGCTGCTAGTATTACATGGCATTACAACTTGAACTTCAGCTCCTAGGGTTTGGATCTCTGATTAAGGAGCAGACGAATGCAAAAAGAGGACATCAGCTGAAGCCATCAAGTTCTGAAAACCCCAGGAGACCAGCGAAGGTCTTGGTTTACAGATAGGAGAAGTTAAGGCATAAACACAAACTACTGGGCTATAATTTCATAAATCCAGAAGAGCTACAAGTTTGAGTTTCCCCATCCGCTAGACTCCTACTTCAAACCACTGACCACAGTGCCCTCATGCCCTGAATCAGTCCTCAGTAGAAGACTCCTTACCTGGACCACTTGCTCAACTTCAAAACCATGGAGCAGCAGGGTGCACAGTGACACAATTCTAACCAAATGTTCCAACAGTCCAACTAGAGAGAGGGAAGGGTCCAGAGAACCAGGAGAGTCTCAAACAGAAAGGCTCAACCCAGAGAGTGGGAAGAGGTGGCCAACCCGCAACCTGTGCCATTCACTGGGCCCTGGCAGCCAGCCTGGGAAGAGGAACAAGGCTCTCAATGGTATAAGACAGCTACAGACCACAGCAACGTTCAGCAGATGGAGGGATGGGTTCTTTCCTTGCTTTTAGCATTCTCAAGAATTTATCTTAGAATCACAGAACCACATGGTTCTGCACCATGGGCAGGGACTCCTTACACTAGACCATGTTACCCAAGGCTCTGTCCAACCTTGCCTTGAACACTGCCAGGGATGGGGCAGCCACAGCTTCTCTGGGCACCCTTTGCCAGCGCCTCAGCACCCTCACAGGGAAGAGCTTCTGCCTTATACCTAACTTGAACTTCCCCTGTTTCAGTTTAAATCCATCACCCCCTTGTCCTATCACTACAGTCCCTGATGAAGGGTCCCTCTCCACCATCTTTGTAGCCCCCTTTAGACACTGGAAGCTGCTCTGAGGTCTCCAAGAAGCTTCTCTTCTCCAGGCTGAACAGCCACAATGTTCTCAGCTTATCTCCATATGGGAGATGCTCCAGCCTCTGATCATCCTTGTGGCCTCCTCTGCACTTGCTCCAACAGCTCCATGGCCTTCTTATGCTGAGGACACCAGAATCCAACACAGTGCTCCAGTTTAAATCAGTTACTTTAGCTGAGGGTGAGAGCAGCATTAAGCCCAAAGTGAGGAAGCTGCTTTTCGTTTGAATTTCTAACATTAAGTACAAGTCATTTAAGAACACCTGCAGATTTACTTACCAGCTTGATCGCTACATATTCATTGGTGTAGAGATTTTTACCTGCAAAGGAAAAAGAGAAATTCTTTTAGTTCCACAGTCAATGCTTGCAGGAAGAGACACAAAGCAGAAGAGTATCACTGATGGCAAAGAGCTTTTTCTCAGTTCCCTGCTGAAGTTCATGCCTTTAGCAAAGTGTAAGCCTCAAAATAATGAGTTGCAGCAGTTCAACAGGGCAGGCAAACACTATCTTTCCTTCAGCATAAGGTAATCATGTTTTATGGTAGCACTTCTGTTAGATGCAAGTGTTGGAGGAGGTATCCCAGACACATTAGGTTTTATTATCCACATCATGTCAAAAAAGTCTGAGGAACAAAAAATGAAGAGTCAAAGCATCATTTCTTTCAGAAATATCTTGCATCTGCTGGACACTGAACAATTTCATCCTGTGATGTATGGGGAGTTTCACCAGCTTTATCATCCTACATATCAAAGCAACTTCTGCAAGGAGGGAAGAGAAAATGACCTTTGTACAAACACACAGCTTTTATTTCTTCCTCTATGAGCAGGCAGGCAGGGTACATAAAATGCCTTCTGTATGCCAGCGGTACAAAGGCAATCCTCATCATCCAATAAAGCCAATAACTCTCAGTTCCAATATGGTACCAATGATGTTAAAAAATACACTCAAAGAACAAGAGCGGTTCTCAGGACCCTAAAATACAGAGGAGTGTCTAGTCCGATATCAGCTCTGGCGAGCACGAAGGGCAAAAGCCTATGATGAGTACAACGAGGCACGCACACAACCAGCTCCTGTAGGTACATCATGGCTCCATGGCTCTGAGCCAGAGCTGGTGCCTGTGTGCGCTGCAGCTGGAGGGGAATTTTTCCCTCCAGGAACCCATCTGGTGTTTGAACCCCTTCACCTCCTCAGCGATTTGTGGCAAAGATGCACAGCTCCACGTGTCAAGAACCATCTCTCCGTGCGTTCGGAAGCTGCCAGTTGTTGTTTCAGTCAATGTCCTCCAGGTTTCTAATAGGAAATTTAAGCAATTGCTCCCTCCTCACCTTCTCCATGCTGCTCATGACTGACAGCAAACTATCCAGAAGAGAGATCATCAGGGAAGGATGCTCAGGCAGTCCTTGCACCTGATCTGTCCCACCACAGAATCCCACACTGGTTTGGGACGGAAGGGACCTTAAAGCTCATCCAGCTCCAACCCCTGCCACAGGCAGAGACACCTTCCACTAGAGCAGCTTGCTCCAAGCCCCTGTGTCCAACCTGGCCTTGAACACTGCCAGGGATGGGGCAGCCACAGCTTCTCTGGGCACCCTGTGCCAGCGCCTCAGCACCCTCACAGGGAAGAGCTTCTGCCTAAGAGCTCATCTCAGTCTCCCCTCGGGCAGGTTAAAGCCATTCCCCATCCCGTCCTATTACTGCTTGTGTTATAAGAAGTCATACAGTCTCTGCTACCTTTTTATCTCCTCTAGTTCCCTGTATCCTCTGAGGAGAGCAGCCTTCACCAGAGACCGCCATGGTTTTATACAGGGCAATACTGACCTTCTTTGCTTATTCCTGCACGCAGCACTACAGCACAAGTCATGCTCTCACTGAGTGACTGCAGCAATCTACACTGGAAGTTATTAACGCTCATTTACGGCACCAGCTTTGCCCAGCTCTATCTCACATTTACATTCCACACACCACTATTCAAAAGCACATCACATCCTCATTCCCACACAGATCCAATGCAACAGCACTGGGAGACTCAGCAAAATTAAAGCCATTAGAACCTGAGAGAAGACAAACAGCCACCTTTAAACCCTGAAACGCCCGGGGAAATTCATTTTACTTTGTAACAGCTTCATATTTTCTGCATTTAACTTCTTTTGACACCTTCCCCACTGTATTGCTCAGCGCAGTTCTGGCCTCTGAACTTCAGATCAGGCCCTAACAGGGCAGGTCCCACATGGACCAGGGTGCTTTAACTTCCATCAGGAAGTCAGGTGTATGGAAAGCTTCAACCAGTTACAGTAACTGGCAGTGCTGTTTAACACAGGGCAGGCATTTAAATGCGAGGTTAAATATCCTTGGAGGAAGTGTTTTATGCAAGCAGATGCGTAAGCTGAGCTCCAGCCTTAACCCTTGCAATGTGTGAATCGATTTCTTGAGATCTCTGAGTAACAGCTCCTGTGTCCAGGCTAGAAAGGAACGGTAGAAAGGAAGGTTCGCAGTCATGTCAAGAACACTCGGACATCGGAAAGCTCCTGAAAGGTCAAACGGGTGGAAAACCAGGTGGTGGGATAAACTGCTTCACCCCTTGAGACAGACAAAGGCTCCAGCCTGATGCTACCCCATGGCTGGTGTGGGAAGAGCACACAAGGACACGCGGGGAAGGCAGCCTAAGCACACTGAGATTATGTACCTTGTATTAGCCAGTCAGTCACAGCAGCAGCTCCAGCTGCAGCTCGTCCACTGAGCTTCCTATTCCCCTCCTCTCGAGGGAAACCAAGCTGCTACCAAGATGCTTGGTTTGAGGACACTGAGCCAGACTAAGGGAAGCTCCAGCTCAAATCTGTGACACAGATGCTTTAAACAGCAAAAACCCCTGCCACCCCCTGCAGACCCCACAACCTCCATCACAGCCTTGGTGACATGTGATTTCAAGGTAGTTTTGGGGCTCAGTGTCCATCAAAGGAGTGATGACCCACAGACCTGGCAACGCTTGTGCTCTCCTGCCAATGCAGGATCACGATACTGGGAAAACAGGGCTCTTCCAAGCTCATTTCAAGGCAGAGAAGGACACTGCCAACACCCTCCATATATATGGAGCCATAAACCAGTCTATTATGGTCTGGTTCATAAGGCTGAGGACTAGACAAAAGATAATTTTGGTAATTAAATTCCTCAATTAAAAAAAAAAAACAACTGGAATGAGGAAAACACAGGAGCATGAAATGTCAGGCCAGCAGTCAAAGGCAAATGAACTAACCTCCAGTTCATCCTCTCCAGAGCACAAACTATGGGGAGCCTCTGAGCACAGGGGGGCGCAAATGGGTCCAGCTGCTGACCTCCAAACCCCTCCTAAAGCTGCAGCATGAGATGTTTGCTTTGCCAGCTACGAGAGCCAAGCAAATCTCTGAAATCTCTCCCTGAGCTTGCTCCAGACCGAGATCTACCCCTTGGTTTTGCTATCACACCACCCAAGGTGTAATGTTTCTTCTTCCACTTTCTACAGGGCAGCACCGATATTAAAATGGAAGAGTAAAGGCAGTGCTACTCACAGGAGAAAGTGAATCTGCAGAGTACAGTAAGCCATGAATAGAAGCTGTCTCTTATCTTAGTAAGACACAAGATCTCTAATCCAGCGGAGATGATATAACTGTGCTAACAAAAGCCTTTCAAGTTCAGGCAAAGCTTTTGATGGAGCAGTGATTAAGTTCATGCCTCAGTTTTGGGTAGTTCCACTGACAATTATGAACTACATATACATATGAGAAGTGCTGCATTAAGTCACCGGCATTCACGTGGGAAACCTAACAGGGTGGATTTCTCAAGCCCTGGCAGTCAGATGCGTTGAATATAGGGACAGACTGCAGCCCAGCCGAGCAGCCCAAAGGGGTCGATCTCTTGTGTGTGCTGTTCCCACAGGTCAAAGTTGAAAGTCACAGGTACAAGCCCATAGTGAGCAACATGAACCAAAAAATGCTTTGAGCCTTACTTCTAGCTCCTCGCTACATGGACAATACACTCTGATGACAGATCAGTGCTGGGTAATGGAGCAAACATCCAAATACTCATCCCAAAGACGAAGCAGAGCTCACCCCACACACCACTGCATTAGTGCCAGATTTGCTGTCCCTTCTGGAGCAGTTCCCAGATAACAGATCCTAGCGTAGAACCTACACAGGATCTACTCCTACCCTCCACATCTACAACATTCTACTCAAATATTCACAAGATGATTTCATTATTTGGGAAGCAGAGACCAGCCCAGCCCCAATATCAGATACTATTATCATCTTGATTCATTTACTACTGTTTTCATTTGCTTCAAAGCAGAGCTCCTGGTTTCAAACTGCAGCCTGGGAGGCAGCTGGGTGGTTCTCAATTTTGGGGGTCAACTTTGAGATCTGCTGGACCTGCTCTGGCACTGCCATAAGCAGCTTTCCTTCTAGTTTGGGTCTTGCTGCTCACTGCCAAGATGTGCTGGATTGTCATGAGAGCCCCACACGAATCATGTTGACATGTGGCTTGTGCACCCTATACAATGTATTTGACAGCACATGAAGACACAGACTTCTCCAAAAAATCCCTTTGTTGCACTATCAAGGGAGAGGATAGAAGCAACATACAGGATCCATCCCTCCCAATGTGGTATTCTTCCCATCCACTCAGGGAAAAAAAACTGGAATCATCATTTGTAAATGATACTTGAACACACTTTTATGAAAATCACAGAATCCCAGATTGGTTTGAGTTGAAGGGACCTTAAAGCTCATCCACTTCCAACCCCCTGCCACAGGCAGGGACACCTTCCATTAGACCAGGTTGCTCCAAGCCCCATCAAACCTGGCTTTATACAACTTAATAGGTTTACTAAGTAACGGTGCCAAACACTGGGAAAAGTGAGACTTTTGGAGAGGCTTATATCTCCCTGACATGGCTCATGGATTTCAGGTAAATAAGTAATACCCACGGGGTAAGTCCGTGAGTCAGTGTAAGGAGGTGGCTCACAGCTCAGCTGGTGATCTCTTTTCTACACTGAAGTTTACAGACACAGCTTATGACAGCCCTAGATTTAACAGGTACATCCCGTTTCCCTTTGCAGTGAGCACCTCCTGGCATCACGTGGCTCCACAGCTCACCGAGCTGTTTCCCAGGCTGGTTTACGTCATGCAGGTTCTCCATCAGCTTGGCAGGCAGATACAGGACCTCATAACAGCACAAAAGTCACGCTATAGAACTTCAGGTGTGCTCCAGCTCCCATGGCAGCACAAGAACTGACTTGGCAAATAACCAGGAGCTGCAGGACAGGGCTTGGTGCTGCACCAAGACAATGAAACCCTGTCAGTGCTCGGGGTCCAGCTCAGGGACAGCAAGCAGGGTCCCGTTAGTAGGTTGAGCCCCTTTGGACATCACAGCTCTTACAGACCACCTAATCTGCAGCCTGTATGAAGAACCAGCACTCAATTAACCCTGATCATCTTGTTACTCTGGGCCAGAAGCTGAGTTTTGTGCTCATCCTTCCATTCCAGCTCCTCTGCAGGCTGGAATGCAACTGTGCTACTCCCATGTGCTTCCAAAAAGCGATATCCCCGGGGCTATCTGTATGTGCAGCAAGAAAACAACACTTGGCAGCAAGCTTGGTATTGGCAGAAAACAGCTTCGGTAGGTACACACCATCTCCTCCCTGAACAATCAGTCCTCTGTCTGGCGTGTGGTACAAGAACAAGACTTTGCTCTTCATGTGTTACTGAACCATTCACTAGTGCTTAACTTTCCCAAAACGATGTACAAAAAGCCCCAAAGCAGAGGGCATGTGTTCAGCTTTGCAGGACAACACTGTTCTCAGAGACTTGCTTGCTCCCCCCCAGTGAGAATTAGCATCACAGCTGAGCAATAGATACAGGTGGTATTTGAGCAAAGAGGAGCTCTTAAAGCTGCAATGACTGGCAATAAAACAGTAAAAGTTTAAAAAAGTAACACAGCTTCTGTAAGGACCTTACACCCAGTTGCTCTTACCCCTACGTACGTCTCATTTGCAGAATCCCAGACTGGTTTGAGTTGGATTGAAGGGAGCTTAAAGCTCATCCAGCTCCAACCCCTGCCACGGGCAGGGTCACCTTCCACTAGAGCAGCTTGCTCCAAGCCCCTGTGTCCAACCTGGCCTTGAACACTGCCAGGGATGGGGCAGCCACAGCTTCTCTGGGCACCCTGTGCCAGCGCCTCAGCACCCTCACAGGGAAGAACTTCCTTATATTCAGCCTAAATCTCCCCTGTTTGAGCTTACTACCCCTTGTCCTGTCACTCTTTGATCTTATAAAAGTCCTTCCCCATCTTCCCTGTAGGCCCCTCTTTAGGCACTGGAAAACTGTTACCAGGTCTCCCCAGAGCCTTCTCCAGGCTGAACAAACCCAGCTCTCTCAGCCTGTCTTCATGAGACATCCTCTGATCATCTTCACTGCCCACATACAGCATGCAACTTAACCAGGAGTAACAAAACATTTAACCAGGAGTAACAAAACATTTATCAGTGTACTGAAAAAGAGCCACTCGATTACCAGGTGTTGCTTTTTCAATAGTTAAAACTGAATTTCTCTGTAAACTGACAGTTTCTTCTGCAAGTCTCTCCTGTACAACCTGTGTGTTGAGACAACCTCAGTCAGAGACAGAACACTGCTGAAATGGTGAGAAACATGACAAAGAAGAATGATGGAAAAGGGATTTGGGCACCAGCTGAATAAATGCAAGAGCCATAATAACTGGAGAGATCCACTACAAGCCACTGAACCCCAGAGCAGAGGTTGGGTTAAAAAGCAATTCAACATCTCCATGGGGATCCTGCTAGTGTGACGTTTGCTCTTGGGGGAGGCTCTGAAAATGCAATACAGCTATTCATGTCATGTCACTGTCAGGATCCAAGCTTATCTTCAGCTGCCAATCATGATCATATTCATGCAGGTGGGAGGTTCTGCCCGAGCCCTTGGCTCCTCTCCACCTTTGGAGCATTATCTCTCCTCCTGCAAATCAATAAAGCATCTCTGATGTAATGCTGAAACCAAACTGCCCTTTACTGAGGCAGATCACACCCAAGCTGGTTAATCTTCACACCGTGGTGAAGTGGCATTTCATATAGATGCAATAATCAAACCTTAGAATGAAAGACTACATGTATTAATCTAAGATTACGTAGATTCTCACAGGAATCTACCAAGATAGTATCAGTAGTTAAGCGTTATAACCCTTTGGTTACCAGAAGCAATTCCCTGACTGATTTATTTATCATCCCTTGTACCTGATGCACAAATGATTTTAATTTCAGTTCTGAATAAGTATCAAGTTTTGCGAAAGCAGTATTTGTGTCAGTGAACCCATCTTCAGCGATACAAATTATTCAGCAGAAGAGGAGAAATACAACCATTTTAAGTCAGGATCAAGACCACCACAAAGTGCTCCTTCTGATCCACAGCAACTGCCCCATACTGGGAGTTCAGGGATGTGCAATTACCAGCAGCTGCTTCCCCCACCTCATTTCAAACACAGCCATTGTTTGTTTAGGCTAACTGAAGAGCCCAACACACTGTGCTGCTCTTAAGCCATCCTAAACAAGAGATGCATTAGCGTGGCCATCTGCGGGTGACCAGCTGCAAGGCGTGTGGTTTGGAACACCAATGGCCCACACTGGGCTGAGGGGCCGGTTCAGCAGCCAGATGGCCAGTCAGCACCTCAGACACATGGAACAGATCAGGGAGTGGGTGATGAGGCTGAAAGTAGGGCACAGAGGTTAGTGAAGGATGTGGAATAGAGATGTGGCTGAGTGCTGGGAAAGAGTCTCACCCATTACTTTGATTGAGCATCCCAGCTTACGAACAGGACATTAATTGCAAGATTTAGCAATCCAGGCAGTTAAGAAGATTTTTGTTCACCTTAGGCAAGACATTCAGCGCTGAGAACAGTCTTCATAGTTTGCATTGTTCAAAATTTGCATCTTTGGCCTCTCCAGTGTATTCATTTTGGCTTTATGCAAATAAAAATAATGCTAACAGTTACATCTTCTGAGTCAGAAGCTTCAGGTAAGGCAGCTCAACACTCGGGAAACAAGACAAGCACGCGCATTTCTCAAGCCAGGGTTAAGTTTTGATGTATTTATATTCCAGTGGTGAAATGCTAACTGCAGAACGCAGGTGACTAAAACTGTTACTTCTTACCTAGTCTGAGTTCTCCAAAGTTCCCACACCCAATCTTCTTGCCCACTCTGAAGTTGGGTCCCACCATCAGAACGCCAGACGATGCCGATGAGCTTGGTCGAGAACCGTGCCCACTCCTTCCCGGCATTCCTTTCGTCGTCCGCTGCCTTTCATCCTTTTCCCTACTAGGATGGTCCATGATCTTAGTGAAATCTCTCTGCCAGCAAGCTGGCAGAAAGGAGTTGGAATACACACTCTTCTCCTTAGAACAGAAATATATATCCAAAAGTATCTGAGTCAGGGTTCAAGAGAGTCATGGAAACGCATGGAGCTCTTTTGGCACTGTATCCAGTTCCTTAATGCATCTTGATAATGTACCAAGGGGTTGATTATGTTCTTGAGAACTCAATAAGGGTAGGTTGCTTTTGGTTTCTTACCTGGGGAAAAGAAAAAGGATATATGAAGTAAAAATCATTATTTTAAACTACCCAGCAAGAAACATAGACAGAGGTGAACGCCCAGAATGTCCCTGGCCTCGAGGAAATTCACAGCTAAATGGAAACTCCACCATTACCTTAATTTTCTGATAAAAATCCACAAAGTGACTCAGAGAGACAAAGGCTGCCCATCCACAGCCTGCTACTGGAGTTACTGGGACTCACACCACACACACTAACAAAGGCAATTTCAATTACATCAGCATGCCAGGTGGAAAATGCAAGCTCACATCCCAGCTTTAAAGCAGCTGTGGAGTGTAAAGTCTCCTTTCTTCTCACTTCATGCATTTATAAAGTATTACACAAAAGCCAGACAAAAAAAAAGAAGCGGAAAAATTAATGGCATCAGGAGAAGAAAATACTTAATTTTCCTTCATTTTCCATCTTTTAAAGTTGACCTCAGATGTAGCTGCTGGCTGAAACCGTTGTCTTACAGAAGTGACCAAAAGTAACAGGCAAGTCAAGATTTATTACTTTTAAAGAGCTAGAAATTTCCTGACAGTTGTATCAACACACGGTTCATGTCACCAACATGATTTACTTCCCAAAGAAAATGAAGCTTTGGAAAAATAGACCTTCTAATGGAATTGGGTGAGGGACTCAAGGGCCACGATCTTCTCCAGCAGCCTGCACTGATGACTGACAAATGAAAGCCGGACTGTTGTCTCACAGAAACTGAAGTGCACCTTCCTCCTGCATGTCCAAACTTGTCACCACCATAACCAATGGCAGGCAACCCTGGACAACTCCAGACAGCGGACTGGTGCATCTCACAAGCATCAGTCTGCTAACTCTGTCAAAAGAGGATAAGAAATAGATCCTTCTTAACCCATCCAGGCCAAGTGGTGCCCCTGTACCCATGGACCATCCCAAAAGAGACAGGCAGGAACTGTACAGGCCCTCCTTGGCCCTGCTCCGCATGTGCAGTCCAGGGAGCACAGGGCAAATTGACATCTCACCATGAGACCTCTCCTAGGTCAAAGGATCACAGGATGGCTTGGACTGAAGCTCATCCAATTACAAACCCCTGCCACGGGCAGGGACACCTTCCACTCAAGCAGCTTGCTCCAAGCCCCTGTGTCCAACCTGCCCTTGAACACTGCCAGGGATGGGGCAGCCACAGCTTCTCTGGGCACCCTGTGCCAGCGCCTCAGCACCCTCCCAGGGAAGAGCTTCTGCCTAAGAGCTCATCTCAGTCTCCCCTCTGGCAGGTTAAAGCCATTCCCCTTGGCCTGTCCCTACAGGCCCTTGTCCAGAGCTCCTCTCCAGGCTTCCTGGAGCCTCTTTAGGCACTAGAGCTGCTCTCAGGTCTCCCCTTCAGGAGCCTTCTCTTCTCCAAGCTGAACCAGTCCCATATGCACAACTTTAATACCACTTTGCAATTATTTGTCACTGCTTTTGTTCATTTATTACTGCAGGCTTCTACATCAGCCAGAGAGTTTGCAGGACTCTATCAGACTCCATCTTCACAGGAAGGATGATGTGTGTATTAGGAAGAACCTGAGGAACTAATAATAACATAAAGAAACATCCATACATGTGAATAGATGCTTCACGCAATGTAATCCCACAACCCCACCCAACTTCAACGGTTTATACCAACGCTTAGAACCCAGCTCAGGTTGCACAGGTTACAGCCCACAGGACATGTCATCCAGCACGTGACTCAGCAGCCCTTTTCTCCAGAAGGAAAAGCGGATGACTTCTTGTTGTCGCTCTGCACAAAGGTGGGGCTCAGTAGAGAATATCATACAGCACAATGGCAGCAAACCCAAGAGGTCTGAAAGTCATCAGGTCATCTGAGAACCAGTGTGTCATGTCCATAATACCCGTTTGGCCGTACTGGCCCAGAAACCACAGTGTCAAGCTCCAAACAGGTACTAGGCAATGTGTGAAAAGCCATTCGATGGCCTAGCTGGAGACAGAGTTGGAGACTTTCACATACAAAGAATTCAGTATTTAGCATTACCAAGCTTTAATTGTCCCTCAACTTAATTCAAGATTTAATACTTAAAACTGAATATGGATAAGCAGGAAGCATCCATTACAGGCAAACAGGATGAACTGGTTTTTCACCATAGACATCCCAACAGACTTTCAGCTGCAGCGTTTGTTTTGGAGGGGTGAACTAGTGCTGCTTCTCAAAGTTGTTTGCATAGACACAAGCACAGTTGTATTTGCTTTGTGAAACCAGCTTGTAGAAGCAATGACAATAACTTTATGAGGTATGAGAAAAAGCACTTTGGTTGGACCCCAACCTGTCCCCAGAGGAGAGGGTCAAACAAAAGAGGCAAAACTCTGCTGACAGGGACTGATTACAGCAGAGGAAAGAGGAATGCTGCAGTTTTTATAAAGCTGCAAACAAGTTTTGGTTTTTCTTGCTCATTCAGCTCACAGCTCAATGGCCAGCAGAGAGCATAAGAGTCAATATAAGCTAAAACCACCCAGAAAAGGTTTTTAAACCACATGAGATGGACTGGGAATAGACAGGCTGTTAAGAACACGCTACAGTGCCTTCCTGGGTGACGCCAGAAGCAGTTGAACCTTCCTCCTGCCATGAAGTGCTACCAGCCTTGCCCTGCAGAGCAGATGAATCCACACAGCGAGGTGGTTTTGCAGCAGAAGATGGTGCCTAGGTGAGGATCTTTCCAAAGTTGTTTGGCTACCTGCTGGCACAAGCATTGTTATAGAGAAGTGTTTTACCAGCTACGATGAAATGGAGCTGAAAGCCACTAAAAGGTAAAGTGTTCATTCAACATGCTTCAAACCACTGATACGAGCTGGCCTTGTTCACAGGGCAGATGGCGCTCCGCAGGGCTTGATGGCACAAGTACATCATTCCTCTGAGGGCTCCAACCCTCCTGAGAGCACAAGCCCTCCTCAATATAACTTTCCCCTCCTCCAGACTAAAGTCTGAACTCAGCTCAAGCCCTGTGTGCTGAGTTTCAGATCTGACATCAAAATACACTGCTTGGTTTGACACTTGCACAATCACACTCAGTGCACCTCAGATGGGACAAGTAACTCTATTCTTCTCAGGCAGGCGAAGCGCAGAGCTCCGCATCATTCCTGGCTAGTGAAATAAGATGTTAATGGTTACAAGCCACTCAGCCTCCATCCTTCCTCTGTTCCTCGTCTGTATAAGGTCTCTCCGGGGAGAAGGATGGAAAAGTTACACCTGACAGTGTGCAAACACTGACCATCCTCTCTCTCCACTGAAAGCCTTCAACAAACAGAAATTCAGATCAGCAACAAAAGAGTAAACCAAACATTTAAGAATCCCTTTGTTATGGCCAGCCCTACGAGCAGGCCCCAGCTGTCGGTACACCAAACAGCACAAAGATCTTTCACTATTGTACCTATATCCTAAAACAAGCTGTAGTAAATACGGCATCAAGTACTGCTTTTGAAAACTAACAAAGCGCTTGGCTTTGGCAGAGGAATGGCAAAAGAACGAAGACAGGACTGTAATTTGAAGTCAGTTGCATTAATATTTAAAGACTACTCGGAATGACTATTTCCTGCCACGATTCAAACCTCTTCATAATGATTTTCCTTCCTACCTTTCCACCCACTCAGCAAGATTGCTCCTGAAAGTTACTTCCATTTAAACAAAGCTGCATGAAGATATTTCCCTAACAGTGACTCAGTCCAATTCCAGTATTCATTTCACTGCAATATAGTTGGAGGCAAGGGAACAGTTGTTTAATGAAAGATACGGGCTTGAAAGGAAATTACTAAGTAAAAACCCCAAACCAACTGTATCCTACACACTTCAGAACACTTGGGACCCAAGATCAAAATCACGACCTCACCTCCATTGATAAAATCACAGACCCAGAGCTACAAACCAGCTTCTAGGTGGTGTTGAAGGCAGCTGCCATTCACATTGTGATCAGTAGCAGAGTTTAACATGAAGGACGTTTAATCACTTACCAAGCACTCGTTATGGCACAGCGACATTGCTCACAGCCATCCAGACTCCTCAATGAAGTCCTTAGGTGTGAAAGCAGCAGTAGGCCAATGCAAACAGAAGACTGGTATGAAGAAGCCAAAGCAATGCTTATTCCTACCCTTCAAGAAAAAAGCTTGCTTCCCTTGCACTGGAAATCTTTGACCTACTTGAGATACTCTGGAGACCTTTCCAAGGTAAGCACAAGAGCTGTCAAAGTCCTGGGTTGTGGCACAATTTCAGAAAGTCTATCCAAACTGAAACTGGAAATGAATGCCCCTTTCTTCATATCAATTCCAGGAGACCTCATCCAGGCCTGTGTGCAGTTTTGACTCCTGAAGGATGCTATATATGCTAGAAATCAAACTGCAAATCTTTGGTGGATGGATCAACACCCTCACAAGCAGAGGGTGTTCAGCCCTACATTTCTTTTTCCTTCTTTTAAGAAGAGACCTACAAAAAAGCCCAATTTTCTGTTGGGATGGGTGATCTCATCCCTCTCTCTACAGAAACAGGAACTCAGTCTCTCAAAGCAGCTCCATAAGCATTGCTTTAGGACAAGGTACATGCCCTCTCTCTGGATTTTCCAACATCCACCCCACGTGCCTCTAATACTTTTTGTAAGACTCTTGATCTGGAGCGTGCTTTCCAGACAAGATCTGCTACTTCCCACATGACTTCAAAGACTACAGAATCCTCCAGGGCTCCCAACTGACACATTTCAAACACACGGATATGAGATCACCAGCTTCCACCCTCATGCCGTGTAAAAAGTAGAGCCTTCAGCAGTAGAAAACTGCGCTTTGCCACAGATGGGGACAAAGAGTTCGCCCTCTGGAAAAGGCAGAGCAGGCAGGATACAGGTAATGAGGTGCATTTTGAAACCAGGGCAGATACGATGCGTTCACTCACGTTCTCAGCACCTGCCAACTCATTTTATTAGCTTACATGCTTAAGTTTAGAGGAACAAGCTGGCTTCGTGGCCTCT